TTTTATATATGTACAAATGTATTTTATAGTGTGTATATAGGATTTTATTCATTTATATGTACACGTTAGTAACAACTGGAACAGAAGTGCATTCTTCTTTATAAGATGATAGCATAAGCATTTGTACAATTTGTAAAATTTAAATCTGCACATAAAGGTAGACATAGTAAAAGCAACTCTCATTAGTATTTCAGAAATGCAAAACATTAGCAACAAAAATAGTTAGTGCTATTTCAGATTAAAGCAATGTAATAAGCACCTGAACATTGGATTGTTGATTTCTCGGTTCATGATCATGGCTTCAAACATAGGCCCTTCCCGTACCACAAACTCTATCATTCGATGTATCAAAGCGAGCAAATTCCTACAACAACAACACAGTTAAAGAAAAATTGATTCAGACCTAACACTATATAAAACTACACTCCACCTAAGATACTACAACTGTGCAGGAGATTATTTTGCCGTATTGTTAAGAAAACTGTATAAAAGATAAGGTAACATGGAACATATTATAGCCTTGCATCATAGACACGGGCATTCTAAAATAAAAATATGCCTAGGAGTGGTGGAGTAAGAATTTAAGAGGAGACCTCTTTCCTGAATTTCCACGGCTTAGCCTACAACCATCTCTTGCTTAGCAGAAGGTTAATACTCCTTATGCATAAAAATGGGCAACTGAACACCGAAGTACAATTAGCTATCAAAAACTAAGCCCTCATCTAAATTGTCTAGAACTAAGACCAAAGTGTTACCTAAAGTTCTACAGAGGAACAAGTGGCTCAATATTATGCTCAAAATTAAACACACACACTTTTGAACACTCAATAGAAACTGCATTCAGCTTTCAAACTATTCAAGTATGAAAGGAAAAGCAAATAGTCTTCTTGATGCCAAACAGGGCAATGGTTTTATTAAATTTAGATAATCTCTTTTTGGTCAAGACTATTGGCATAGAACAAAACTGTCCATCATACCATCCAATGTTTCCTCCCTCATACAAGTGAACCAAATCACAATTAAAAAAAATAAAAATCTGTATTTCTTTCATTCAGCACTACATCCTGAGACAGGCAAGAAGCAGATGTGAAGTGCACATTTTTCAAGCCACATCTGAAAATGCAGAGCCACTTATAAGCACGTTAACAGGAGACAGTCATATAAGCTTTATAAGGAATAGTGATTGTCAGTTTCCAACCTTATGGGTTTTTTTGGAAACAGGATCCTGAATTTTCAAATATAAATTACCTACATATATCAAAAGCTTCACAGGACGTGTCCTTTGAATGTGATGCAAACAAAAAAAAAATACAGATTTTTACATTTTTAAATTTATTTTCTTACAGGTAACAAATGGATATTGGTTCTTTACATGTGTCTCATTAGATTTCCTTTTAGCAATTTTTTAATTATTAAAATTCAAAAATTGTTACACTGAAAAGCTGCAGAATTTTCTATTACTTCTTAGTAATGAGGTGATTATTTTCTACCATGAGTATTCAAAGTTCTGCCACAGATATAATGCACTAGATAAAAAAAAATTTTCAACTTGAAAACATAATAATAAAAACCTGCCCCTGCCATCTGGAAACTTAGCAAATGTTCTGTTTTATACCAGCTAGCATCAAAATCTACATTCACCTCAAATATTACACAAAAAAACAAACAGCTACCTACAGCTATATTTTCCTCTCTTTACAATCCCAGAAACATTGTGAAGAGAACATAGCGTCAATAATTCTGTAGCCATTTTATTTAAAGCAATGTTCTGAAAGTCTAAATAGCAAGACTGTTCTTGTTAGATGAACTGTATTTGAAAACATCAGTAAGAAAAAAATTTACAATTAGCTTTCAAGCCTCTGAGCTATTACACTATTCATTTATTTTAAGGCAAGTTCAACGTGATCATTTCTCGCTTCCTGCAGAACCATGCCATTGGTTTTCATCTAATTTTTCTTTCATCGAGTACAATAAAGTTGCCTAAGAGCAGCTTATGCTTGAACAAGAACATCTGCTTTGGAAAGTCCTCAGATGTATGAAAAAAGATTCAGTACATCCCATATCTGAAAGAGGGTGTAACATGCATTTTGGTATATAAGACATGACTACTTGAAAGTGAATTTCTCAGAAAAAACTTGATTGTGTATACTCAAGGTTTTCTGTTTAGTAAATAATAAGAAGAGATGTTAAAAACTGATATTGAACATTTTCAAACAAAGGAGAATAATTAAACTTATTATCCCACTGAAGTCAGTCGAAATCTTTGCAGGATGCGATGCACTGTGTAATAGTCTTAGCAGTTGTCATCAGCATCTTTGAAAGTCACCAGGAAAAAAAAAAGTTAAAAGTATTTTCAAATACAATTCAATTAACATGAGCTTTTCTTATCGTACAAGCTTTCAAAATGTACAGTAAATAAAATGGAAACATATTTTTCTCTGAAAGCTACTCATTCTCTAAGCACTGTACAGTTTTACAAGTACTTGTTCTACTACTCAATATGTTTCTCAAATCAAGACTCCTCCTCGTTGCCCTAATTATTGATGTCTCTACCCAACAGAAATTGTACTGTCCTAAAATTTTAATCAAAAATACTAGTGCATTTTATCATCTATTGACAAATCTGTTAATATACTACTCTAACTAGCTTGACAAATTTCTTTCTTTGCCCCCCCACACACGCAAAAAAAAAGGAAAAAGGGACTTTGTGACAATTAAAACAGTGTAGTAAAAAAAGATGATGGTTTTAAGTGCATTATTTTAAAATGTCATTTAGCTTAAGTTGGCCAACAAAAAAAAGTTTTTCAGTTATAATAAAACCACATTTATTGGAGCCGATCGTACCAATGTCTGGTCAAAAACTGTATACTTTCCCAATCCATCCCATGATGTTTTCCTGGTCCCCCGCTGCCGCAGACAGTTCAGCTGGTGTTGCTCACCAAGGCCAATGTCAAAGAGAATTTGGTAATCTTTTGTGCTTATTTACTTTTAAAACAGTGCTGTGTTCCTATGTTTGGGAAAAGGTTTTAGCTTAACTGAGCAAGAGTATACCTAGACTAGTGTGAAGATAGGAGCACTGATGGGGACCAAAATGTACAAATACCCTTGCAATACAGAACTGCCTTTCTCAGTGACCAAGATTATTAACTGATGCACATTAAAAAAAATACCAGAAATCAAAAGTGATTTTTAACTGAATTGGTTACAAATTGTACAAGTCAAAAAAAAAAAAAAAGGAAAAAAAAAAAAAAAAAACACAACGCACAGCACCACACTGGAGACAGCTGCATCGTAGCTATGAAGTACTCAGAGGTTTGTGTCAGGACTTATACAGCGTCTCTAAGACAAGGTATTTCACCCTAGTGTTCACTCACAAAATTACCCTGCAACTATTTCTACTGCTCAAATTAAATGCAAAAGATAATTACTTAAATTCATCTCACTAAAAAAAAAGAGTTATTAAGATAAGGATAAGAAGACTGTAAAACACACACATTTCTCTCAAGTGTCATGAAAGAACCATTGCTCAGTCAAGCCATCACCTTTTCCTCAACATCACCATTTTTCTTTAAAATTCCGAAGGGGAAATTTTCTATATTTAGATCAGTAATAATAAAGAAAAACATGTACCTTTCTGTTGGGATAACCACTTTGACTATGGCTTGCGACAGAGTCTGTATATGAAGTCACATCAGATAATAAACATAGAATATGTGAGTATTGTTAACAAGTAACAAGCAAAAATATACATATGCAATGAAAATACTACACATCTATCACAAGTTTTGCAGGCAATCACTGCTGTGAAGTTATAACTTAGCAATTACACAAAATGCAAATGGTTGTGTCAGTGAACCATAAAGGTTCACTAATTGCAAAAGTATCAGAACATTCCTGTCAGAATGTACATTGATGCACTGAATAGGTACTACACTGAATATAATTAAGAAAGGAGTTGTTAAGTTTATGAAAAGATTCTAAACTATTTGACTTGGATCACGTTGGTATTACTTTATTCCCAAGTCTTACAAAAACCAGCCCTAACATTTAAGTGTCATTCAAAGAATCAACAAATTCTTACAAATGTAAATCAAGTTGGTTTGTGATTATGAGATACTTACCCTTTTATCAGCTAATATTCCAGAAAAAAAAAGTTTGAAAACTGACTCCATAAGTAGCATAAAATACTTACTCAATGTCCAGATTAATTACCTCCTACACAAAATACATCAACTCCTCTAGTGTAAAAACAATGCTACCCAAATTAAAATGTAGTATTTTCTCTAAAGAAAACAATTTAGATACTGCAATTTGGCAGCCAACAAAAGAGGGGGACGTAGGAGAAAAAAATCCAGGGAGCCTGGAGGGGGAAAATGATAGCCAGATTTAAAGCAGCACTAAAATAAATCATGACCCAGTATACTGTACCCTAACACAGACATGAAACAGAGCTTCAGGAATTAAGTAGGTTCCCTTGGGCTACAGCAGGGAGCCAGTGAGTTTGTATGCTAAGGGCCGCCAAAGTCAGCCTGAACAATGCAAATCTATGAAGCCATTGAAATACTGTCACAGATGTAGTATTTAACAATGAGATATGGCCCAGGGTACTGTAAGTTACCTTCTCAAAATCTTCCTTGTTTTTTGGTGGTGGTAACATTGGAGCATTAGGATTCTTCAATCTCTCCCTAGGCTGGGCATTAAAAGGCAGTCCTGACGGAGGAGGCGGGAGGGTATGCTCCATCATAGAAGGCGGAATGTATATTGGATGTGGTGGTATAGGTACAGCTTTACCCCAACCTAGCTTCATTTCAAACGACATAATCATTTTGCCTGAAAAAGTGAAAGTAAAAAAAAACCAAAACAAAATCACCATTATGTTATAAATTGGGTCTCGTCACTCCAGATTGCTCCGTGCAGCGTTTAGGTTTGCCTGCCAGGGTTTACTTTTTGCTTACGTTGTTGATTAGTGTATCACATCTATCAGACTACATCATGTGCAAATGAAAGCCTATTACATGAAATATTTTATTAATCTTCCCCCAATGTATGTTTTCAGGAGACTACAGTACATAATTACTTGACTTGTTGGGGGAAAAAAAATTTTTAAATTTGATGTTCAGCACATCAGAATGAACAGAGTAATTTTTAAATTATATTATTTCTGTACTTCAATTCTTCAAAATGTTTTGTTCATAATAACAAATTTCAAATTATGTTATTCAAAACCAAATGCAATAACCAATTAGAACTCCTACATAGTGTAAGCCTACTTACTAATGGTCCCCCTTATTAAGGGCAACCTTTCATTTTTCATTCTTTTTGTCTAGGATGCTGATTTTTGATTTTTAGGCTCTTCCTGAACTGTAAGGACATAGCTTTCTTCATCATGTAAGATATTTTTCTCCTTTTTTTCAAATAAAAGATAGACAAGATAGTCCATATGCAAAATCACATGTCTGGTGTAGTACAGTTACCTCTTCAGAAAAACGTAACATATTTATCACCAATTACTGATTATATCCTGTGCACTAGTTAAATTTATTCACAAAAAAGAATATTGTTGGTAAACCACTACAAGTAATAGATTCCTTCTTAAAATAGTCTGTTTACAGAGGAGAGATTATCAAACATTACCTCCCGCTCACATCTTCAAAACAGTCCGAAATTTTACATCTTTAGCCACAGCAAAAGCCACCAGTATTCCCAGCCCTTCTTTATGCTATAGTTTGATGACATTCAGCTGCCAGTAAAACAGTCAGTGTATAAACTAAAATCACTGCCAGTGTGGTATCTACTGGAGTTACAGCATCCCTATCACTAGTCTGATAAAACAACTTGAAGATATGTTACAGTTACTCCTCAATATTACTACAAAGATAATTACAATTCCAAACCAAGAAATCTGTTTACCATTTAAATTCTTTAATGCTCTTTCAGCATCTCTCCTGTTCATAAAGGCAACAAAGCCACAATTTCTTTCTCTTGCTCTTTCTTCATCAGTTCTTGGCCACATAATTTTAACACTCGCTAATGGTCCAAAGCGTCCAAATTCTTGACATAACATCTCTTCATTCATCTACATGTAAAAAGGTAAAAATTAGCATCTTGATACCGTATTTCTAAAATACTTGTTCATATTATTGTCCAAATGGTGAGATTTTAATTTTTTGAGTTCCTTGAAAAACAGCACTTCACTGATACCCCCCAATGCGATCTACTGCAAAAACAATAATTAAAAAAATGCATTTGAAACTGAGCACACTCAAATTTTTGAGATATGATCCACCTTGCATGGAGATATCCATGGAAAAATAATTTTAACTGAGCATTTTTGCATCTAGTAACTGATAGTCTAAACCTTAACTTTTACAGCATCATGTACCAAGCATTTATTCAAATGACTACTACCTCTACAATCACCAATTGTACCTAATATATGGGTTTAAACATATTCATATGGTTTAAAATAAGAAGGGGGGAAAATTGCCACCGGAAAAAAGTTCAGCTGGATTCAAATATGCCAACACTGCACTTCACTCCTTGGCTTCAAACTTACTTGAGGATTAATGTTTCCAAGATACAAATTTGTTGTGCTTGGATCTCCAACATCATGTGACCCGGGTGCATAATCATCCAGTACTACAATGGAGGAAAAAACAGAAAAAAGAAGTCATAATCCTCGCTATGCATTTAAGTGACAACATTATATTGAATAAAAAAAGAATCTATATTACCACCAGATGATCTGTTTCTTCTTGAAGGAGCATCCACTGAATAAATAGAAGAAAAATATATATAATTTAGTCCACAAATTTTGTGGCCCAAACAAACATAAAAAATAACATCTACTTACTTGAACGACGCTGGCCATCTGAATCTGACTGGGGTGGTTCAAAACGACTCAATCTACCTTTTGTTTTATGTCTTTCATCACGCTCCTCTTGTATTCTACAAAACAAGTTTAATGTAAGTAACAACTTACATTTCGAGGTTTTTATTCTTAAATTCTCAATTAACTTTAGAATTATGAGAATTTTTATTATTAAACAATGGGCTTGTTAAAAATTTCAAATTGCCAGTATGTTTGAATTTCTGCTTAATCAACTGGAATATATCTACCAGAATTATTCCAGCTGCATGCTTCCTTATTCATACTGTCAGGGTGTTTTAATCTCAACCAAAACTGGCTTGGTTTCAGAAGCATTTTACAAGACCAGAACTAAGAACTGGGCTCTGAAAAAGTGACCCGAATTCCACATCCAACTGCCCGAGATCCACTGACTCTTTAGATGACTTTTCAAGATGCACACAACTCCTTAGCGTCTATTTCTCCTCCTACCTTTTCTAAGCCTTATTCACGTAGGCTGTCACCTTGTAGGGTGACAGACACCCCCATATGACCATTTCCTGAACATACAGGATCTCATCTCAGTTTACACCTCCGAGGATAGTACTCACAGAAGTAACTATTTGACTCTTTGTAGTTTGGCCTTAGATCTTGGTACAAAGATATTGTGTACCAGAAACACAAGGCTGTCAATTCAATTCGTTTACATCAACTAATGAACAGACAGCAGGGAAGTTCAGACACTACTCACAAGAGCCATTTATGGATTTATAATGCAGTACCTATTGTTTTCTAATGCATACAGATTATTTTGCTTTCCATCTCTAACATTAGGGCAAATATATGGCACTCAGTTACACTCAATACATGTGCTGCTCCTTCTGTTGTATTACACATTCAAAAGTGAAAGAACCTGCTTTTTGAAGCATTATTCGGCTTGGTTTTAAAATTATGCAAGCTGAAGTACATCTCTAAACTTTAATTATAAATCTTATTTCTGCATTAATACAAAAGCTCAATCTCATACTACAAGTCTTCTGGATATAGTTTTAGAGACACTGACAAAACTTCTTATTCTTCCTGAGTCTGATACACATTTCAATTTTCTACCAATCTCTTTGCTACATCCCCATCAAGAGGAAAAAAGGTCAACACCAAAAACCTTAACATCCTCATCCATTACAGTACCTACTTGTCTTGCTGTATCTTCACTAACTTTAACAATGCATGAGACCATGTTAACAAGTGTTGTCATTTACAGGCTCACACTTGCTAATTTATAACAGAATTGCAGCCCAAATTCCACTTGTAAGTAACATACTGATAGCAGCTGTCAAAGAAACAAACCTAGGTTTCCATTTTTTATCCTGGTAGATGGCTGGTTGATTCAATCATCAAAGCTCCTATTCACACCTAACTGATCCAAAAATCATCTTCAGTAGCTTTGGAAACATAGCCAGTCATTCACTTATTGGGATCTCTGAAATACTTTATTCATTTATATGTAATTTTTTTGGTTAATTGCTCTAGGATATTCCTCTGCTTAGGAAGGCAGTACCAAACTGTTTCAATGGTCAAAATCAAACATCTCTAACGTGCAAAGAAATCCATTCATTTCCACAGACAAAGATGTAAGCCAGCACACTGAGCTTTTTGGTTTGTTTTTTGATCATTTTACAGCCTCTCGTCGATGCTAGATTTCAAAACAGAAGTACTTTTCAGCAACAGTGGTAAACACGTCCTATCACCAATCAGCATAAGAAACGGCAGAAGTATCAAGGACACCAGAGAACTAATTAGATGGCAACTGATTATTCAGAAAAATCACAGACACCTATACCGAGCATCTACCAGCACGGCTTCGTACTCTGTTTAATTATCATTGCCACTGTTAATTAAGTTATACCACTCCACAAGCATTTGGGGAAAAAACAAAACAAAAACCTACTTTGGGAGACAGCTTAGCAAGAATGATCCTAAATATTGCCTGTAAAAAACTTGCATCTTCTTTATTTACAGTAAAAACTAGTGAAACTTACTGCTTTAATTCTTCTTTAAAAAGTTCCAAATTACTCTTTTTCTTTTCCTTCTCTCCTTTCTTCAAAGGCTAAAATTAAAGATATATCAGCCAACATTTCAGCAGATAAAATGAAACAAAAATAAAAATTTTATATATATAACAAAATTTTAGATAATTTCCATGCATATTTTACCCACAGCTTTCAAACCAAGTAAACTACGGGGTGGGGGGGGCGGGAACAACAACAGACTTGAAAACATTAAGACTGACCACTATCAAACACAAAGCTAGAAAACATAAAATTAAGGATAGCTTAAACTAAACTTTGTTACTTCTCATTATTACAATGCAGCAAGTGTGATCAAACACTCTCTACAACATAAAAATTTAAAATATCTGTGATGTATTTTGTCAGTTTGTTCCACTTAGAAACTTAGAAGCTGACTACACCCGTAGCAAACGGTCATGCTCTAATTAAATTGATATGTGTGTACATATATATGTAAATTATTGTACATATATATATTCAATTATTTTATCTACAGACAAACATTCTATGTGAAAAGAATTTCCTTCTCTTGCTTCCTTTCAGATATAATACAGGTCTGAAGAAACGTTACTCTAAATAGTTCAAGATCCTCAGAAAAAACACTCTTGAATGACAAAGAATATGGATATTGTAATATTTCTTTTTTTTTTTTACTGTAATACATGTACCTTAACTAACTCATGTGAACTCTTATCTTCAACAACATTGCTTTTATATAACCAAATTCAAATGAAAACGTTTCCAATAGGCAGACATACAAAATATTTGTGTTACACACTACAGCTTTGGAAAAACTGGACTTCCTACTCACCCCAGGCAAAGTTGTTTGTTTGTTTTTGTTTTTGGGGAGGGTCTGCCAAATAAATAAAATTATTTTTACCTCATTATCTTCAATCACCATTGGACAGGGCAAGTGAGTAAATTGATTGCATTACTTGATAAGTATTTATGACAAATTTGAAAAGCAGTAATATTCTTACAGTACAAACACTTGCAATATGACAGAACAGAGCTCAGCATAATAAAAAATGTTATAATTCATTTCTGTAACTGTAGAGCTTTACATACAATGAAAATCAAAACTGCCATCCAGTATTTCCCCACTAGTCTAAATTTGAGTTTTGTTTAAAGCTGGAGGGAGGCTAGGATGGGATTACCCACAATTATCACATTACATCTCATTTCCCACCCTGAGAGGCAGTATCATATATGTTTCACTTAAAAACTGTAGTAAGCTCTATTAAAAGACTTTTTAAAGACATCCAAGACATTAACTACACATTACACATATACAGCAGTAACAGTAATCATACATAACTATCATTTGACTTGAAGACTAAGTTTGTTCATAATATTTCCATTACTTTTTATGATGAAATCTCAGTTTAACAAAAAAAGCCTATCAAAATATGCAGAAGTCAAAATAAATTAAATAGAAACAAGATGTTCAGCTGCAAAAATGTGCAAGTTCTACAACTTATTTGGTACAACTCAGAGCTAAAGGGACTTATCAAACATCACCACAAAAAAAAAAATATTCAAAAAACCTCACCAAGAAAAACTTGGATCAATGCAAAGGTCAATTTTTTGTTTTTAAGTTATAAAAAACTAAAAACAGATGGCAGCAAGAAGAATTGCTTCTAAAACTTCACTAGTTCTCGGGATTGGAGATACTGTTACTTTGCAACAGTCACTAAATCTGTATTCATGAGAAGTCTGTCTCAATTAGCAGGAACACAGTAAAAACATACAGCAGCCAAAAAGTGCAGTACTAGGTATATCATGCTGGATACAGGGCTACTGGACCTCTCTGCATTTCATCATCTTGTTATTTGCTATAGGATTAAGCAGATCAAAATTTCCACCTTCTTTTAATATGTGATAAATGTAGATAAAACTACTCTGCAAGATCACACAGACCTTCTTCTAAGCACTAGATAATTCCTAAGTATGGGGTTAATATTCAAATAAGAAACTTACAGGCTTTTTGGTTTCTATCATTAAGAGGGATGGAGGCTTCTCATTAGATGGCTGGCTTGGTTGATTTTTTTGATCTGAAAATCGTGATGAAGGCTTATAGATTTTACCCCGTTTTTCATCTGTTTCATGCTCCTCTGAAATTAAAGGCAAATTAAAAACAAATTGTATTAACTAATACTGCACAACACTGTTCATTAGAAAGAATGCTGTTGTTCTTTAGTCTTGTTCATTCAATTCAATGTATTATTTCATTAAAAAAAGTGATAATACAAACTTTCCGTAATTTAACATCTTTTAATATGAAGAAAAAGAGCAAAGATTAGGTATTTTAAAACAAAGCATTTTTGCCTCTGAGGTTTAAAAGACAAATCATGCCACTACCTACCTAGTGAGTCAAAGCATAAAGTAGATTTTAGCATCAAGTTTCCTTTGCTGCTTCTAATGTAACATATTACTTTTAAAATGCAATTCAAAGCCAATCTTCATCTTTACTCAAAGCCAAATGATCCACCACCCCCCCAAAAAAGATTAGTTATACCTTTAGATGCATTAACGATTCCTCCTCTTACAAATGTTTTCACTTTATTACCATCACTTCCTTCAAAGGCAGCAAGGAATTCTTCATAAATTTCTGCAGCAGCCTTCTCATCCTCCTACATAGCAAATGTTGATCTATTTACTATCATCACAGAACAACCTTCACTAGACAGCTATTCTTAAATTAGCTATGTGACATTCCTTTTTATTTTCTAAAGTTCATGCTACAAACTGCATCAAATGAGTTTCAATTTTAGACAGAATTCAAATTTCTGAGAAATGTGGGAAGAACACAGCACATAATACGTAAAGCAAATAAGGCCTGTATGCTCAAATATGACTGTTCATTTACAAGAGTTTACATGGCAATTTAACATTCAAAAGATGCCAAATAGAAAAGATCATATGAAAGACCAGCATTATGAGACTGGAGCTTTGTTGACCTAAGCATCAGAGAACAGTACATATTCCATCTTGCCCATTACGATCAGCCCATGTGACTGAAGGAGGTTAACAACAGGATCACCTTTATGTATTTCCCAGAAAAGAAGTTAATTCAGTGACTTAATAAAGTGGAGTGAGACACTAAATTTAGCACTACAGTGTTTCTTTAGGCTAGTATTTCCAACAACCTAGCAGGAAGTATTCCACTGAAATATAGTAGAGAGTTGTGTGTGTAAAGTTCAAAGCCCAAAATTTTCAAAACTTCCACCTTATCAACTGTAAGCTACGTATTTCCTAAAATTTGGACGCTCCTGAGTATCCTAAAATTCAGTATCAAATTTTAATGTTTTTATTAATTCTAAAAGAAGTCATTAGACAAAAATATGTTTTACAGAATAACAAGGATGCATATTGAAACGATTTCAGAGACAACAGGTACTCTTTCCAATTACTGAAATCCAATGATAGAGAAAATAACCTAAGGTGATGGCTGTCTTCATTTTGAGCAATACAACAATCCATGGATTGTTGTAATTCAGTATTTTCAGGAAGCCAGAGAACTTGATTTCTCACACAGAAGAAAAGAGAAGCAAGCCTCTCTCCCTATGTTAATGCCATGGACGCCAAGAACAAATTAAACATGTAAAATACAATTCACTTTCATTCTTAGAAAGCTACAATTCTCAAAATAAAGACATTTATTTTGATAAATAAAAATTAAAGCTGGTTGTAATCTAAAAGCAAACCTATTTCAGCTCTCGATACAAAATAAAATTTTCATTGTATACCATCACCTTCTTTTTTAATTCTTCTTGCTCCTTCTTGCTCAGAGTCCGTTTGGCAGCACTCATTTTGCCAATACTGAATGCTTTAAGTTTGCTTTCCATTAGAGGCTGCAAAAGGAGTATGAAAACAAACATTAAACTGTTCACAAAACAATTAAAATAATGTTACTCTCTACCTTGATACAGACCACAAACTTTCTACCTGAAGTGACTTAACCTAAACAAAACAAAGACTTCCTGTACTTCTCTCTGAACTTGCCATTACCTAATACAACCAAAAAATTTAAATCTATGTTTTTTCAAAAAGAAATTGTCCTTGGTTTAATGAGAAAGCTTTTAATACACCATTCAAACACAGCTGAAATCTGAAGGGTACTTGCTGTAAGAGCCTGGAGACCTTATCACTACACAACACACAGTTTCTAAACCTTCGGAAATACATGCTTTGCACTACAGTTCCTTTTTGATCATTGCCATTTCCAGAAAAAAAAACCCAAAGAAAAATTCTAAAAGCTTTTCTGACTATTTTGGCCAGAAGAACATTTGCGCAAGGTTGAACAGGTGTAACTGAAGAACAAAATGAAAGAACTAAAAAAACCTAAATAACAAAATGAAAGAACAAAACTGAAGAACTGAATTTTAGTTGTACTTCAAGGTTACGTGTAATATTTTTGTTTGAAGAAGAAAACTCATTCTTGAGGTTTTCAGCTACTAGTTAAATAAAACAAAAGACCTCACATTTAGCTCCTAGATTCTTTATATTTTAGGTAATTCAACCTCCATTCCTCCCTTCTTGAAACCCTGATGAAGGAAGGCGTCCATGTAACAGTCATTTCTGGAGAGTATGGAATTAGAATTCTTAAGATCCTATTAGGCAGCTAACAGTCAGTAAAGCGTTGAGAGAGTAAAGACAACAGGATGAAGACCACGTTCAAAAGACATGGGCAATGGGAAGGAAAGGAGAGAAAAGATAAGAAAATTCTCTGGAAACTCCTAGCTTAACACAGTAATTCATAAAGAATCAGCATAAGAACAAGCAAAAGCTTCAGAAGAGCAAAACATAAGCTATTAGCCTTTATCTTCAAAAGATTTTTGATGCTCTTACACAGTGATGCTTAAAACTACCATTTTTGCAATGACAGTTCTTTAAATAAAAAAAAAACAGGTCAATTTCATAAAACATCAAGACAAATAAGGTGAACAACTTAACTGTCGTATTATTAAAAAATTTCAGATGCCAACTGTAAAAAGAGTTTCCTCTGGGAATAATTTTCTTTGTAGAGAGTTTTATTTCTAGTATCAGCTTCCTATTCAGAATTTTTTACATACAAAAAAAGCACTGTGAAAAACAACTGTTTGAAATACCTTCAGTTTATAATCCTTGTTTAGTATCACAAACACCTCTTAGATCTGTGCCAAGCGTATGACCAAAATAGCTCATATTTCTTTGAAAAATGTTCCCTACTTCATCATTAAAAGGAAAACTATCAATTAGAAATTAATGCAGCGTTTTCCGTAGAGTTATCTGGTTTATGACACTATGTTGTCAACATGAGCTGTTGTGACAGGTTTATCAGGAGCTTTTCATGCATTCTATGTTTTTAAAGTTAATAAAATCCAGTTTTCCTGTTGTCTGAAAGACAGCTTGTATTTCAGTATGACAAACAATATACAACCTTGGCAAAACGTGGGCATATTGCTATGGCACAGCAACGCACACAAAACTAACACCACACTCCTACCCAAGGTTTATCCTGTCATAAGGAAATAATCTCTCACAGTAATATTACAGGATACCTGCAGATCAGCCACATGAATATATGTTCTAGTGACATAAAGGAAGCAGCTGTAAGATAACAAGAGTTCTGGCCCTAAGATCTCCTCAGTTTAGAAAAGGTCTCAGGAAAAAAAAACCCAAACACTACCTTCAAAGTGGCTGGAGCAATACAAAGTTAGTAGGATTGAACGAATTTATGCCTGCTAGTTACATTCCAGTAGGCAACTGTAACATTATTATTAACCATATGCAGCTTCACAGAATTCCTAACAGAGCTATATAAAACTTGAAGGCCTTCCTCCTTCAAAAAATGGGAAATAATACGGTGAAAAGGGTAAAGCAAATGAAGGAAGCAATGAGAAAACCTGTAAGTAATCAAATCACTGTATGAAAGCAAACTCCCATTAAACATAATGCTGCATTGACTATAAGAAGGCACAAAGTACTGAAGTCCCAGTTCCATCGACAACACCGAATATTCAAGAGATTTAAGAGTAATTTTCCAAATTCTAGCAAGTAAAGCAAACAAATAAAAGCACCTACTTCTTTATGAAGTTTCTGCTATCACAACTTGAATAATGTTATCTTACAAGCAATTTAATTCAGCTGTTAATTGACTTTTTCATATACAAAATCAAATTGAAATCTTGAAGAAAATCCAAACCACAGAATGAATTGTCTGGTATTAACGCTCTGTTTGGCTCTTGCTGCCTCTTTTCATTTTAACTCAAAAATAGGTAGGCCTTCAAGCAACATACCAACCACATGACCAGGTGAAGGTCTCTTCAGTGGGGGAAAAAAAAAAAGACTAGGTAATTATTATTATTACCTTTTGCTTTAAGTATATTCTATTAGAAAGAAAAATTAAGGATGAAATTAGAGCCACGCCATCTCATTTTTGAGAAGCCAACTGTATACAAAAAGTCACTTTAATATACAGTGACTCTTACAATTAATCAGCTCGTACTTTGAACTATTCCTCAGTAAATGAGATAAACATAGAGAGAGTCCTTACAGCTTCTTCCTGTTCAAGTATCTATTATGAATGCAATATCATGCAGCAGAGCTTCCTATACTAATGGTTGTTTGAAAGTTTCAAGGAGTATTTTTAGACATGAAAATCAATGGTTCATTTATAAACACCTACAGATTAGAGACTCAATGCACCAGAGTCTGCCTGCAGCAAGTAATTTTCTTTAGAGAACAGGCCTATTTTGAGTTTCTGGGTTTGGTTGGGTTTTTTTGTTTGGGGGGTTTTTTTGCTGTTTTTAAATATTTTGGACTTACATGTGTATCAGCAGATCCAGTGGTGTGTACTGCATCTGGCACTCTGACCTGAAGAGAAAATGAAGAGGAGATGAGGCACAGAAAAAGAAAAAAAAAAACTCGTTTTTTTTAATTCAGTTCTTCGAATGTGATTTTCATTTCAACTTCAACGTTCAAATACACAAGAACAAAGATACATGTAATGTATTTTAATAATACATCTGAACAGGGTCACAGCATGAACAATGTCAATATAAGGCAAATAAGGGATTAAAGATAGACTGTTCTTGCTACCATTAAAAACATCTAAATTTCCACAGCTGGATTTTATAAACATGCCACTAACACCACTGCAAGGAAGAAAAATTTTGTTACATTGAATCTGCAAGAGTTGTCATTAAAGGCTGTTAAAGATTACATAAAGTGCTTGATTACATTTGCCTTACTATAAAATCATTTCCAAAACTGCTCTTAGTGTGTCGTGCATAGATGGAAGCTGGCCACCTCAAGAACACTAATTTAAGTCCAGTTTGTGAGTATGTACTAATGAACATTATTACTTTAAACTCTAACTGAACTTTAACATGTAAACCAGCGTATATATAAAATTTGCATAGGCTTTTTTTAAAATCAGGTTTTTAAATGAGTTTAAGTGATGGAGAACACTCCAACAAACAGGACCGAGCACATTTTTAAATTATGCAATGCCCAAATTCCAGAAAACCTCACTGACATAACATCCACTATTAAGACATAACTGCTTGATACACAATTCATATCTAAATTGAAATTTAAGTCAAAATAAAACATTTTCATTAGCGGAAATCTGTTCATTAGTTACAGAAAATTAGCACTTCTCCTTATTACCAGGAATTTATTGTTTCTACCAGAAATAGTAATATATGATGCTCATCTCCAGTCTTCCAAAACGGACAAGCACCAAATGCTACTCTAGAAGATAATTTACTAGGCCTCATTGTCATTTCACATCATGCTTTTTCATCAACTAAGATAGAGACATTTATCTTTGGACAAGTATATTCCTATGTTTTACAGTTAAATCAATTTAGAAAAAATGGTAGACAGCACTTCAAGAACCAGAACTAAGTCCACAAAGGTAAAGAGAGACACAAAGATACAACCCTTAAAAGTGAGAAGGAAAAGGCTCCTAGGAATATATGTTTGGGTTTTTTTTTTTTTAAGAAAGAAAGGGGGAAAAAAACAAACAAAAAAACCCAATTGTGTCTTACTCTCAAAGACCTCCCAAATCCACTTACCTGTAGCACTATACATTACTCACAAGGCACATCTTTGCACAGGAGTTAGTAAAAAGTTTAGTTCACATGTACCAGTAGCAGTTCATTAAAATACACACGGAAGCAATTATCACAAGCATCTTTTACTAATACTGCTTCCTGCAAATTTTTCCTCTGTATTTGGTGCTGGATTTTTTTGTGATTCACAATTGCCTATGACACTCAAATCAGTAATCTGTTATCCACAGTTCTACGTATTGCAAAAATGTAGCTTAAGGAAACCCATCCTCCCCCAGAGAGTATATGAATGTATAGCACAACATCACACAGATAAAAGAAAGACACTGTGCAAAAGAATTTCAAAGCTTGGAAACAGCATTCTTCCTGCTGCCAGCTGCTACCCTGCGGAAACCAACATATCAGTTACAATTCCACTCTTAAAAAAAAAAAAAAATAATCAGACCTGCAGTTAAAAAGATAAATCTCAAAGGTGGACTGACACAATGCCGTCTGCCTTAGTGTACTGACAGAATCGAGACCTAGCACTGCTTGGGGGAAGGAGGCTGTTTGGCAACAGCGAATGAAATGACCATTTCTCAATTCTCCACATCTGTTTCATTTACAGAAGTTTTGGAAAGCGATACCTTCCAACAGTGATGGGTGCTGAAGCTGCTTATAGGGAGGACAACAAACAAGGCATCACACACAGTAACAAACAGTACCAATGCTCAGTACAATGACACTTAAGACACAATATCCTGAGGAAGAACATAAAAAAAGTAACAGACACTGAATCTGTTTCTCCCTAAATCTGTTTCTCCAGCAACAGAGCAGATGATACTGCTTGGAAAGGCTTTCAATGCATGGCAGCATGCAGAGATTCTGCGGGCTAACAAGAAGAAAGCAGGCCAATGATCAAAAAAGTCTGGAAGTCGGTGAGCGAGAAGTACAGCAGCGCTCCCCAACCCACCACGGGGACCACGGCACTGTGGAGCAAGCCACCCCGAACGTTAGCCGAGCACAGAATTTCTACTAAGGTGCACTCTGAAAACTTCTAAAAGCAGTTTTAGCTTTTACACCAACTTTATCCCACAGCAACTAGCAGCTTTGCAGGGCCACATTATTCTCCTCCTTAAACAGTTCTTATTTTTAAGGTCTTCTCTTCCCAGCTATAAATTTAGTTCATACCTTTGGTACCGGTTCTGACCATCCAAGCGACTGTACCCACAAAGCACAAGATGAAAGGATTCTTGACAAAATTACACACTACTATGTGCCAGTTTCTAAATAGCAGTTATTAAAAAAAACTACTTCTCACAGCACTGCACTTTGCATCTATTTGTGCCGGCTTGACAAAAGGGGCAATTTTGTTTCCTTAAGAGTTACACCAGCTGAGTTGACTCAGCAGAACCACAGTGTCTTTCTAACATTCAGAGAGGAGCATTTCAGAACATGTTGCCCACCTGTATTAAACCTGGAACAGGATTATTTTTTCCTCTTCTCATTACGTTAAGTAGCTCAGCTGAACTAACTGTTGATAGAAACATACCCAAAGCTCTGTCCTGTACCTGGTGATGTCTGAGATGTGAGGATAGCTCCTTCACATTCAAAACACTGACAGAAAAAATGCGGTAAGTCCATCTTTCAGTCATTGCCAGAATAAACAATCTACAAATGTCCTCTTACTCCCAACTCACTGCCTCAACCACTCTGCATGAAACCTTCCCCCCCTCCCACCCCGCCCCCAACCAGCCTATTTTCCAGCTGGATCACTTTCTCAATCTCTTTCACTGCACAGGCCCCTCAAAGAATTGTGCCAGCATAACTGGAGTAGCAATGCAGGCTGCTGAAATGGCATTCCAGTAAAATACAGCCCTTTAAACCACAGTCTTGGAGGTCAGGTCACTCAAAGCTCCATTACTGAGTCTAGCCAAGTTTATTCAAACTTCAAAAGGAAAAAAAAAAAAAAAAGAAATCCTTAAAGGACCATACAAATGAGATTTATGACAAATTCCTATCAGAAAGCCAAAGCAGAGAGCCCTCTCTCACATTCTGATGTTTAAATTTTCTTCCAGCTTCATGGCAGCTTCCAAAGAAAACAGAGACGAGACAACTGCTCTCCCAAATCTTCCTTCCTGTCAGCAGTGCAAGTGCCCACAAATCCAGCTCTTCATAGTTTCTCCAAATTTAATGATCTCTAAAACTGGGTAAAACTGGCACGATCATATTATTTCACAAATATTTAAAATATGCTGTATAACATAAGCAAACATCTTTTTTTGTTGTTGCTGTTTTTTAAATTAATCCTGATGCCATTTAGTAAAACAACAAAGAGCAACTAAAGCACAAAAGCTGCCAATAAAACCCAGGAGACAATCCGTGGCCTTCCAAATGCTGAATGTTATTTTTACCACTGTAATGGCTACAACTTAAACATAAATAAAAGCCTTGCCCTTGCAGAAACTAATAGCTTCAGGGTAAAGTGTTTACAAGAAACTCTGGTGTAAGACATTCTTGCCCTGTTTCGACACCTTCCATTGATTCTGCCCCCATACTGGGCAGCTGGCCACACTGAATTAGATCACTTTTCCCGATCTAACTGATCACCTAGGAAAGAGAGACTTGGGGAGGTTCAGCCTAACCAGTTTCCAATTCATAGCAAGCTCACACCCCCACCCAAATCATGCCAAATCAACTAAAGAGGACAATGTTTGGGAGGGAAAAAGTAGCTAAGGCTAGGACTGGTTTGTGTCAGCACTGATACCAAGGAAAAGCAAATGGAATGTTAAGATGTTAAAATTAAGATGTTAAAATCTAGCAAAGACGGGGAGATTTCCAGCCCAACTTGTCTTTTTTATTCTTCCTTTCTCTATCAAACTGTCTAGAAAACAAATGCTTGCAAACACCTGCAAATTATTTTATAGCTAATCTATTTACTCTTTACATCTACTGGAACAGTGCATATTAATATTATTCACTATTTAAATAGATATCACTTGCAGACACAAAAGTAAATGGAAAATGGTTTTCTCCAAAGTACTTGCAAGGAATCCTATTCCACTATAACCTTAACCTCAGATGAACAGGAGCTGCCAACATATAACTTTCTACTGCAAGAGAGGAAACGAGAAGGACACCTCCCTTTTACATTTTCATGAACAGAGGAACGCACTTATGCCTCTCCTGCTCCTGGTCACCAGTTGAAAAACAATACAGAAAAAGTTAAAGATCACGAGTTTCACCATCCTGCAGAATGCTACATCTAACTGGAATTCACCACATGTACAGATTTTACATTGCCGCTCTCCATACACTTTAACTTACCAAGGAAAGCTGTCCACTCACAAGCAAGTAATCACTGTTCTTCAACATTTAATTAACACATAACTTACTCAAAAACCTGAGAAATGCATTTAAGGTTAAGGAATGTTGTTAAACGTTGTTAAAAAATGTTAACTTTTTTTAGAATGAAAAAGGAAATCTACAGCTTGGTCCAAGTGGATAATCTCTTCTGCCACATGGTATCCAATTCATACAGCATTATATGTAAGAGCAGTGGACATGCAATATAGTCACTATTCTCAGAAGACAAAATAAGAAAATGGCGGAGTCATTGAGCTGCTAATATTTCATTACATCATGATAATAATTGAACATAATCAGTATCTGCCATTTTAGAATCATATCCTACACTGACCTCCTGCGCAGTCTTGGGCAATCTCTATTTTCTCTTCCTCAATTTTGTCCTTCTTTCCTATTTAGATTGCTGGAAATCTCAAGCACGTATCTTGCTAACCTAATCTCAAAGTGACA